ATGCACAAACCAAGGTACGGTTACAGCTATAATAAACATAGATAGATAATCATTCTCACTCTTTCAATGTGAGAATCTGGATCTCATTTTGAGAAGATTAAGTGTCAAGAGGAGTCGTTCCTCTGCATTGAAGCTTCATCTTTAGGTAACCTATAGAGGCACTCTAGATTCTGGTACATGATTACTGTAACTCTCAGCAAGAGGCTGGGATGAACAGGTATCTAACATAGGCTGGGAGAAGACAAGAACTTGTGTTATTTCTACACATGGTATTTTCATGCCAAAATAATATTAACTGCACTGAGGCACCCCTTCTAAACCTCTCCGCTCCATGTGAATAGTGAACCTCCTGCAACCTGGAGGTAATTGGCATATGAAGGGGGTAGAATCTATTTTTGCTGCATCACTGGGAAATATTCAGCACGTTCTACTACTATCCAGTGCCTGTTTATCTAATGCACCTATCACAGTAGTATCTAGGCGCCTATTATCAGATGCTAGCATCAACGAATTACTGTACCTGGGAGGTTTGTAGTATGAAAGCCCCTCTAGTAGCCTCTGCCAATGCTTGTTCAACTCTGCTGCAATCTGAGCCTAGAAGAGAATAAAATAATACTGAATGGACAAATCTCCTTATTCTGCCCAATATCAGATTTGTTCAATTTGAACTAAGCAATGAAATTCCAACACCACACACAGAATAGGACAGCAACAAGACCAACATGCAGAACATCTGTGATTCAGCTTGCTGCTTTGCCTAACTGTGGGAAGGAGGAGACAGCAGGCTAGGCTCAGAAATGGATTTGGATTTTCAACCTCTGGGAACATTCTTGAAATCATGGACTCCATCCCAGGGAGTAAGGAAGCAGGCTGCTCCACTCATGAATACCCCAAGCCAGCCAGTCTGGAAAGCAGCACTTGTGTCCGCTCCAGAAAGGGAACCACCTTTGCACATATACCATTCCAGTGCTGCAGCAGCTAACGAGAGAGAATAAACAAGGAGTGGAAGTAGAGGAACAAAAAACTCACAGTAAGAATATTTTGGGGGTGAAAAGGGGCAGAGCAGCAAAACATGATTCACTAGCATTCAGCCGCTTACGCATAGCATAGCAGGGTTATCAGGCCACATGTCTATTTAGTAACAAGAAAAGCTGCCTAGCAAGACCTCTACTTACAGGTTCTCTCAAAGCCGATCTGCCCAGCAGAATGGTCCATAGTTCTCTGCTGCTCCTATAAATAAAGAGAAAAAAAACAAAGTTCTCTCTCTAATTCAAACATGGCTCAAGGCTGATGTTCAGCCTACAAGTTTTTAAACTTGGTTTTCACTTAGAGCAGATAAAGTGGTAAGACATATTGAGCAAACCTAAGGGAAAGCACATTTATATTAGCTACTGTAATTGGTTCAATCCAGTTTTGCTACCTGGATGCCTACAGTTAGTTAGTATAAGGAAACCAAAGTAAGCATGTAGAGATCTTTCATTCAGTTTTGTTCGCTGCTGTTCACAGCTTCCTCCTTGGGTGGAACAATATCAAAGTAAGGTGAGAAATTCCACCAGTTTCCCAAAAGGCACAAACTTTGCCAGAACTACTCAGCATAGCTTAGCTAAACTAAGCCTCTTGTTTGTATCTGTTTCCCAAACACTCACTAAGAACACAGAAGAAAAGGCAATCAGTCTGTGTTAGGAAGTATTTCAGATCAAATCCTTATCCTACCAGATCTCAGAAAGGAAGGTGCAACTCTGCAAAATGTAATGAACAAAATCTAGCTATTTAAAATAGCTGTGCAAACAGCAACTTCCAAAATACCGCTTTCTGGAGTTTAAGAAATTGATGTTCTGGTGGCAATGTAATCCAAGTCAGGAGTTAAACTAAACCATAAAGCCTGCCATGCAAGGTCTGTCTAGAGATGAACAGACAGGTTATGTGAAATATGCTCATCTGACAGTTTCTCAGATTACCATCTAGAGAACCTAATCAGAAAATGAGCTCCCGGGATAGCTAGAATAACAGAGAATGAAAGTGGCAGCTCTGAAGTCGTCTACACCTCCAGAGAAAGTACCAAAAGCCACCAGAGGCATTATTTTGTAAGACTTAAAGAATGAAATATCTGCAGCCTGATTTGCTGCCATTCAAAATAGACCTGGGAAGTTAGAATGCTATTTTGAGTAAATTAAGGGAATGTCTACATGAACATTTACTGCATGGCAAGCTGGGGTGTTAATCTACAGCTCTCCAACATGCTGTGCACTAACTGTCCGTGTGGACCTTTCTGCTGAGTACTAAAAGTTCTCTACTGCATACTGACATACTGCTGTCAAACCACGATACGTCAAAGGGCACAAGGGAACTTTTTGTGCGCAGCAGCACGATCCACACAGACAGTTCAAGTGTGGCACACTGGAGCACTACAGATGCAATCCCTCTGTCCCATGCAGAGAACTGAATGACCATAGAGTTCTCCCAAGAAAGGAATCTTTGTAATGCAGAACATCAATATGCCTGAGCCAACTCTGTCTCATTTCCACTCCTGCCAAACCTTCTCTGTGATTAAAACAGGCCTCTGATTCTGGCCAATTTACTTATTTAGACTGCCACAAGTCCTCCTGTTCTTCTTTTTATTTAGACTGTATGCTATTTGAGACACCAACTTTCTCTTACTACATATTTATATAGTGCCCAGCAAAACGGTGGTTCTCTTCCAACCGGGGCCTTGGCACTACAGTAATGCAAATAATACACCTCTACCCCAATATAACACTGTCCTCGGGAGCCAAAAAATCTTACCATGTTATAGGTGAAATCGCGTTATATCGAACTTGCTTTGATCCGCCGGAGTGTGCAGCCCCGCCCCCCCGGAGCACTGCTTTACCGCGTTATATCCGAATTCTGTTATATCGGGTTGCGTTATATCACGGTAGAGGTGTACATAACAAAAATCTTACTTGGCGTCAGGCTTTCTTTCCATCGAGTTTGAAGGTGTTAGAGTTCCAGCAAGACTCAAAAGCATTTCCAAAAACAATGAGGACACCTTCTGTGCAAAGTGACCCATGAGGCTTATTCAGAGCGAAAAATCCTATGTATATTTCACAGACTCATGGAAATGTAGTGTTCAATTAAAAGGGCAAATCAGCTCCCAGAATGTCACACTCATGATAAAACTATCCCTGTGATGTAAAAATCTGATCTCTGGCCTCAAGCCTTTGTAAACTTTTAGAGCTTTAACCTCCAGGAACAGACTATACTGCATCACATTCTGCAAAGCAAAGTGGATAACATGTAATTTTTTTGTGTCTGTCATACACACAGGAATGTTGTGTATAGACATACAACAACTCAACCAATGTGTCCCCTTCTAAAGATGTGCAACTCGGATGTAAATCGAGATTTCAATTTGGCAGCAAAACCCCTTTAAACAGTAGCTCTAATTTTGTTAAATCACACTCGCCACTTAGCCTTCTAAAAAAGACAGAGAACAAAAGGAACACAAAGAAAATGTTAAATCACCACTAGTCCCTGTGCCACGCTTCCCAAATAGTTCCTGTCACTTCTAAAGAACATATTACCTTTCCAAACATTTAAATTAGGAGGGACAGAGGCAGATCTACACTTCATCAGCATGATTCATTATTAAAGTGTTTGCTCTCCTATCCAGCTCACATCATAGTTGGATTGCAGTTCATTTGGGATTTTAATGTTAGGTGTTTACAAAAACTTGGTGATTGGTACCATCAGGTTCCCCCATATTCCATTCAGACAACTTAATCTTGAGCCTCCGAGCAAGGCTCTCTTATGCCACCACTTCCACCTTCCATTCAGCTGCACATGCTCTAACTCACCAGACTAGGATCCAAGACTAAGATTTAGGGGAGCCGAAGCTCCAGAGAGTAAGTGTCCACAGCCAAATGGCAGGTCTTGCTGGTATGGTTGGGGTATTAAGTGTCTAATAAATTGCTGCAGTGGCCCTAAGAGATCGGGAACCACTTGTTTTATTACAGAGAGGAGGAAGGTGGAGAGGATTGCATGAAAACTGATATTCAACTTGGCCATGATCAGTTGTGGTAAAATGCTGAAATAGATTTGATGTTATTTAGTAAAAATAGATGGTTTCTTGGGGCTCTACAACAGCACCCCACCAATTCCCCTTCACACACTCACTAAGCAGGAAAAGGTCTCAAACAGGGATACGTTCATTACATCCTGAGGGGGCAAATAAGAACCAAATGGAAGTAGACTATACCCTAATTACCCCTGGGGTTTACAGTCCTCCTCAGCCCCCATACACCACTATTTCCAAGAGCTCTTCAATGGAATAAGTTCTTAAAATGCATATAGATTTCATGACCACACGGTGAACCGTCTGTTTTGATATTTGCAAACAGGCTCAGAGGACGTCAGTAGGTCAGCTCATCTAGACAGGTGGCATTGCAGAGATTTCCACTAGCAGAGCAGCCCTGTGTGTGGCCCTCATTAGAGCCCAGACGAACGCGGTAACAGGACCAACCACGCAGCAGGCTGGGAGAAGGGACTCTGGTGCCAGGACAGACTCCATCCCAATGGGGCAGAGAGCAGAGTCTGTGCCAATCGGAGGGCACCGAAGAGGCCATTCAGTCAGCGACCCCAGCTTCTTAGAAATGGCCCGATCCGCTACCCGGGGCTTGTGTGCAGAGGCCCTGGGTGCGTTTGCAGCAGGGGGTGAGCTCTGCTCCAGGGCAGGATTCGCCTCAGGGGAGAGGCGGTCATTGGGAGGGGGACTCTCCTGGAAGAGATGGGAGCGCAGTGGAAGTGGCTGCTAAAGCGGGTAGCGGCCTCTCCTGAGGAGGGCAGCTTGGGGGTGCAGTTGAAAGGGGTCAGGGTGGGGGGGTCACGGGGAGGAGCCTCTCGGATATGCCGGGGGTCAGGGGGAGGAGCCTCTTTTGGGGGGAAAACACCAGAACGGTGCACTGGGGAGGGGGCAGGACCTGCTCCCTCCCGCCACGCCCCGTTTGCCGTTTAATGACGAGCTCCCCGGCCCGGCCGCTATCCCCGGTGTGTGTGGGTGGCGGGGAGTGGGGAGTTCTCTCAGCGGCACCCGCGTTCCCTTACCTCGCGCACAGCCCGCCGGCCGCCATCTTCGCTCCCGTCTCACGTGACCCGTTACCCGCCGCACCGGCCTGGCGCCTGCATCACGTGACGGGGACCCGCTCTTCCCTCGCCTCCGAGGGTCCCCCATCACGTGACAGACACGGGCCGCAAGATGGCGCCGTCCAGTGAGGTGAGTTGGTGAGGGAGGAAGGAAGGTGCATAGCGAGAACCCCAACAAGGCTTCCCTATAGAGTTATATAGGTGCCAAGGGAAGTGTAGCGTGGAGGTGGCTATGGGGGCGCTGTTGTACACGAATATGCAAGAGCCGAGATGGTTGCTGTAGAGTCCTATAGGTGCCAAGCCCAGGGTAACGTAGGGCTAGCGTGGAGTGAGAGGGGCTAGGTGCGCTGCGGGGCTCCGTGGCAGGGGTAAGGGTAAGAGGAGTGCGCTGTGGGGTAGCGTGTCTGATACAGGGGCGGGTTGGGGGTGTTGTTTTATATAAGGGCCCATTTGGGGAGTGAATAGGGTGACCAGATGTCCTGATTTTATAGGGACGGTCCTGATTTTTGGGTCTATTTCTTATATAGGCTCCTATTATCCCCCCACCCTCTGTCCTGATTTTTCACATTTGCTGTCTGGTCACCCTAAGGGTGAAGCTGAACACAAGAAGTATAGCGGGGAGGTGAGCCTGTTACGGTGCAAGCTCCTGAAGGGGAGGGGGTCACTTTGTCTCTCCTGCACCGAGTCTTCTCCCTGACCCGTAGTTTGCTACTCACTTGGATTTTAATTCGGGTGAGCAGCTCAAGTTCAACCCCAAACTCGCTTGTAGGCTTGAACTCGACCTGCTTACCCGAGCGAAAGTCCGAGCTGTGGTGCCTTCACTCCTATTTTAACCGGAGGTAGTTAGCAAACCTGAGTAAAGAACATCCCTCTTTTTGCGGGGAAGACGTAGCCCTATTGAAGCCCTATATAAGCCAGTGAGAAAAGACAGACATACTATGGACTTTCCAACAGATGAGAAAGCTGAGTCTTGGGAGCTGAGTGATACTTTGTTTTATACCAGGTGGCTGCACCTTCCAGGTGGAATGGATTATTTTTTTATGCTGTTAGTCGCTTCATTGAACACACAAAATACACTTCTGTCTTCCATAGTGTCTTCAGTATAGTGTCCCAAAATACCATAGTGGGAGTTGAATAACAAAGTAGAATATAGTGGAGAGAGAAAGAAATTAAGTAGTGTAGCTAAGAATGAAATTACGTTTTCTATTTTAGCTGAGATGTGAAGTCAGATGAATATCAGAGGTGGAGAGAGAAATTAAATCTGCGCTAGCTGTCAGGAACTATAAAGGAGAAGTCGTGCAACTAAATGAAAGAACAGGAGGCTTGTACTAACTGAAACAAATATAAAGAGGCAGGACCCATGAGGCAAATAGGGACAAGTCCATGGAGGGCTTTAAAACAAAAAGTGGATCCTGAAATGAGCAAAGAGCATGTGAAGATGTTTGAGTATGAGAATAACATGGTCTGTTCCATATGTGAGCAAGTGGGACCCGCCCTGGCATTCTGGAGTTTGAAGAGATCATATTTGGAGAAATCATAGAGAAGGGAAAGGCAACAGTTGAGGCAAGAGGAGATAATGATAAAATAGCCCTCATTACACATCTACAGGTCAGTAGTTTTCAAATTATGCTGTAGCTGCATTAAAATAGCAGACATATGTCAATTCATACTTGGGATTTCAGCCTTCTCAAGGTGCTTCACGATCAGGACTGGTTACTTTCCCATTTGGGTGCAGTAGTTAGGTGTCGTTGCTGTAGGGGCTGGAGCTCTTAAATGTCCATGTTGGCCAATAACTGTTCCTCCGCCTCTGGTTTGCATGTAGGGGTTTCCCTGCACTCTCCTACTGGCAGGTCCTTGCCCCATTTTCTATATCTAGAAACAGACAGAAGTGGGCTGCTCAAAGCCAGTATTGGCCCTGTGTGAAGGAGAATTGTCCCAGATTACTTCCAACCTCAATCAACTCTATGAAATTAATTTTCCTCCCATTGTTTCAAAACTGAAAAATGATTTGTTGTATTGGGGAAAAAATACATTTAGTTTGGCTTGGTTGTATAGCAACAATAAAAATGTATTTGGTTGCCAAAAAATGAATTCATATTTCAGCCCCTGTCTGTATAAATTCCAAAAACCTCTAGAGGAAATTCAGACAAGGATTATTAAATGTATAATATTAAGAACAAAATTCTGCATAAACCCACTCTGAAAGGGGGGATTATCAGTCATCAACATCATCACTTCCATAACCGCAATGGTCGTTGGGGCACTATCACTGATGAGCAATCAACCAATTGTCTTCACCCATGACGATTGTGTGTCCGTGCTTGAGTCTCCGCGAAGTCCATTCCTGTCCACTCTTTTACGTTGTCAATCCATCTCTTCTTCTGTCTACCTCTTCTCTTCCCCTGTACTGTCCCATGGAGGATGATCTTGGATAGGCCAGATGATCTTGTTACATGGCCATACCACTTCAGTTTGCGCTTCTTCATGGTTGTCAGGAGGTCTTCATATGACCCAGCACGTTGGGTGATGACGTCGCAGACCTCTTCATTAGTGACGTGGTCGAAGTAGGGTATGCCCAGGATTTTACGGAAGCATCTCATCTCTATTTTCTGTTCAATTCCTGCCATAAGGGTCGCACACATACAGAAAAATGGAGATGACCAGTGCGTGCAGCAGTTTCCGTTTGGATTCCAGGGAGATGTTCTTTGTTCCCCAAATTGGCTTTAATTTTGCCACTGTTGCTTCTCACCGTCCCGGGCCAATGGGGGCGGCGAGAAGCCGCGGCCAGCACATCCCTCGCCCGCGCCGCTTCTCGCCGCCCTCTTTGGCCGGGGACGGCGAACCGCGGCCAGTGGGGGCTGTGATCGGCCGAACCTGCTGCGTCAGCAGGTAAATAAAACTGGCCCGGCCCGCCAGGGTGCTTACCCTGGTGAGCCGCGTGCCGAACGTTGCTGACCCCTGCCCTAAAATAATGGTATTTTGGAGGAAAGTAGCATATAGAATTTTCAAAATAACTAAAGTTAGGCTACCCACAGAACCTATAGTGATTCTATTAGGTTACAGTCCAAAGGAGGCTATTGAGTTAGGAAAGGCCCTATTGAGAACACATTTGCTACTAGCAGCCAAATGCACGATAGATCTCCTAACGCTAGTGACATGGAGAAATAAAGTATTGGAAAGCCTTTCACTGCCAAAAAATGACAGAAAGACTTATATAAGTAGAGTTTATAATGTGTGATTACCATGTTTGGAATCAGAACAGACTTAAACACAGAGAAAGATATTAGCCAAACACAAATAGGTCTTTTAAAGGTAACAATTGTGGGTTATGAATAAGATTTGTTAATGCTTGGATGAAAAATCCATGTATGTTGTTAATGACAAAATAACTTGTTTGTTAGTTAATAATGACACAGATCTATGCAGAAGAGACTGACTAGCTAAGGCTGTGAAATGGGCAGGGAAGGCTAGGAAGTGTTCCCTTTCAGCAATTGGGAAAGAGGCTGAGGCAAAGTGTAGGGAGAGGATGAGCTGGATAGGAGCAAATGCCTCACCTCAGAATTGTAATGATGCGTAAACCACTCCTTAAGTATCTAAATGTAAATTTACTCAGACTGACTTGGGAGAATATGTATGAACTGTATCTCCAGAACATTTTCTAAAGTAAAATAGAACACTGGGGCCAGTTTTCAGGTTGAGTCTGAGCTGTGTTTTTAGGGTACATGCTAGCTGTCCCCCTGTAACAAACGTAGCCCAGCAGTTCTTCTCTTAGAAACAAACAAACAATTTATTAAGCAGCTTAATACAAAGGTACAGTGGACACTGTGTAGTCCCTTTGTAGACAGAAATATGTTGTATTTGGACCCTAGCTACCACTAGAACTGCCAAGATCAACCAAGTTCCAAAAAGCAGTGGAATCTGTCCAGTTTAGACCCATGTGACCACTTCTTTTTCTTTATGACTTTGATGTTTTCTCTTGCACTCATATAATGTAAGCCTTATTGCTTATTTGAGAGAACAAACAGTGAGGTAAAGACGGTGATGCCATAAGTAAAGTCAGTCATAAAACTAATAGCAGATGGAAGGAGAGACACTCTGAGGCAAAGGTGGACAGATGTACATTAAGATGAGTGGAAGTTTGCACAATAGTCTGAAGTATTTAATGTCTTGTTCCATCACAGGGACTTTTTCCTCCGAAGTTTTGAGTTTTCTCCATTTGTTTGGAATCTTTTGCCAATACTTATAACTGAATAGAAAGGATCAGCTTGGACAGAAATTCCAAGTTATTTAGTACTACTAAATACTCTAATTAACCAGGGGAGAAAGGTCAGATGGGTTAAAATGCTGGAGAATTGCTATTTTAAAGGGACACTATAGATTTGTCACATTTATGTCTGAATAATTTTACTTACCAGAATTAGAAATAACCGCTAAGATTGCTATAACTAGAAAGATTTTTGAGAAAGAAAATACTCTCTCTCTTCGGTTTGTTTATATTATATATATGACAGTGCTTTGTGTAGCGTCAGTTTTCCCTTACACAGTTTACACAGCAACGCTGGAGGGAAAATATTTTTAAAAATAGGACAATGTGACTGTAAATCCACAGAAAATCAGAAGAAAGGAGTTAGAGGCAAGGGGAAGACCTGAAATGACCTTTAACTCTTTTTATTTTAATTGACCAATTTTCAAGTTGACGGTGTCAGTTCCTTTTTTTAAAACACGAGTAGCCATTCTGCATAATTTTGCTTCTGATTTGTTTTGTGTTTCAGTTAATTTGTACCTTGTGGGGGTTTTTTTGTTTTTTTTTATTTAATTTATGTTTTTAAAGATCAGATGTTGCTTATGGTAGAAACAGTATTGTCGGTTCTATCAATAAAATGATTGCCTATGTAACATGCATATTTTCATCTCTTCTTTAATATTTATTTTATATAGCACCATGGCATGTGGGTGCATTAATTTCACTTCATTCTGTAACAAACTCATCACCAAGCTCTTCTGTCGTTGTCTAACTTAGAGATGTCCAAGTGCTCTTTCCAGTGCAGTTCTTGTGAGTGCTGCTATTTAGTATTTGCATACACTCCTTGCAGAATATAAAGCATTCCCTCTATACTTTTAGGAGAGAGAGGAAAAATCTGGCACTGCAATAGAAGTATTTAGTATTTGCATGTGAATAAAAGTACTGTGAGATTTGGCTATGGCATTGCAAGCTGAGTTTTCTGATTCTTGAAAGCAGTAGAAAATGCTGGTTGACTTATTTCCATCCTGATTTTATTTTTCTCGTGACAGGAATCAAAGCTTTCAACTGAGCTTCAGAAAATAAATAATGAGAAGAAGGCCTCAGGTATTCTAGTAGTCTCTTTAATTTTATTATTTTGTTTATTTTTATAGGCGTTGCAGTAGGATGAAAGTGAACTTTTACTAATGGACCAAGGACTGTATTGAAAATTTTGGAATCTGACAGTTGTAAAGATTCTGAAACCACAGGATGCCTCTGACTGGAACCATGTTAAACAAACCAGTGCTTTTGGAATCCCTGATTGTGTTCATCATTGTGTTGTGTGTGCACATGGTAGTTTGGGACCGGTATTCCTGGTGTGCTATCGCTCTTGCTGTTCAGGCTTTTTATGTCCAATTTAAATGGGACCGTCTACTCCGACTGGGTGGGGCCGTATTCCAATTTCGGACGACAGCTAACAGTGGCCTCCTACCAGCTAGTATGGTCATCCCACTCCTGGGGATTGTGATGAAGGAGAGATGCAAAGCTGCTGGCATTGTGTACTTTGAACGTTTGGGCATAGTTGTGGCCTCCACGGGCATGGTGCTAGCCCTCTTCCTATCTGTAATAGCAGTTGGCATCACAAGGCCTGTGCCAACTAACACCTGCATACTTTCAGGCATTGCTGGCAGTATAATCCTCTATACCATGAAGTATTCTTTAACTGTTTCTGAAGTGATAGAGATTCTGGAAGTGCTGCTTATTTTTGTCTACCTCAGTATGATCTTGCTCTATCTGTTGCCTCGATGTTTTACTCCTGGGGAAGCATTACTAGTCCTTGGGGGTATAAGTTTCATCCTCAAACAGCTCATTAAACGCTCACTGAACGTGACAGAGGGCAGAACGGATCCTGTAGACTTCGTCCTTCTAGTGGCCGTGGCTGGGGTGGTCCTTCTTGGGATTTTCTTCACTGCTCTCTTCTTCTTCATGGATTCAGGAACCTGGACATCCTCTATGTTTTTCCACATGATGACAGCAGTGCTGGGACTGGGGGTCCTCATGCCTTGGCTTTACCATCTGATCCAAAGGAATCCCTTGCTCTGGTTGCTCCGGTTTCTGGTTCAGACACAGACAAGAGTTTACCTCCTTGTGTACTGGACCCTGTTGGCTGCCTCTGCGTGCATGGTGGTTCTTTACCAGAATTCCAAGAGATCATCTGAATCTAAAAAGCACCAAGCTTCAACCATCACCAGAAAATACTTTCACTTCATTGTGGTGGCTACTTACATCCCTGGGCTAATTTATGACCACCAGCTTCTCTACATTGCTGCAGTGCTGTGTCTGGTAGTGTTTATCCTTTTAGAGTACATACGATACTTCAGGATCAAGCCATTTGGCCAAACACTCAGGCACTTGCTCACTCTCTTTTTGGACGAACGAGATAGTGGACCTCTGATCTTGACTCACATTTACCTACTTGTTGGGATGTCCCTGCCAGTGTGGTTGTTCCCCAGGCCTTGTGCTCCGAAAGGTACCCTATCTGGAGCAGGAGCATTGGTTCCCTACTCCGGGGTACTGGCGGTAGGGGTGGGAGACACAATAGCCTCAATTTTTGGCACTACAATAGGGGAAATCAAATGGCCTGGGACAAAGAAGACATTTGAAGGGACAATGACTGCCATCTTTGCTCAGATCATTGCTGTGGCTCTTATTCTGATCTTTGATGGCAGAGTGAACCTGAACACCAGCTATGCCTGGATTTTGGGGTCCATCAGCTTAATTTCCCTTTTGGAAGCCTACACTACCCAAATAGACAATCTGCTCTTACCTCTCTACCTCCAGATACTGCTCATGGCTTAGAGACATTGCCAGGAACAGACACTTCCTTTCTAGCTAGGGGTGGTAATGAGCCATGCATCCCTGCTGAGAGCTCAATAGAGCCAGTTTGGTACGAAATGCTATATTTGGTATAGCGGGTAGAACAGCTAATGACAGAAAGGAAATAGTTCTTCAACTCTTAATTTACAATAAAAGTAAAGGCTGCTGTTTGTTTTTTGTTTGTTATTTAATAGCTAAAGCAGCACTAACTGTTGCATCCTCTCAGAGGAGTAACAGGAAACCATCCACGTGATACTGTGATTCGTAGAGTTGGTGATGCTGAATTAGATATACAGTCATAGTGATTTTGTTTCCAGGTCTCTTCTGGATGCACTGAAGCAGAAGGGGTGGGAAAGGTGAGTTCACTAGAAGGGAACAGATGGGGTCATTACATTTTCCTAAAAAGCAACAGAGGGTCCTGTGGCACCTTTGAGACTAACAGAAGTATTGGGAGCATAAGCTTTCGTGGGTAAGAACCTCACTTCTTCAGATGCAAGTACCTCGCTTCTTCAGATGCAAGGTACTTGCATCTGAAGAAGTGAGGTTCTTA